AGAGATTTATAGTGGTTTGATCAACATGACCTACATTCACTCCCTGGAAGCGCCCTCCTAGTATTGTACTTAACTCAGTGTCTCTCCTTTTGCCCCCACAGCAAACCTCTTTTCCACCAACCCAGTTGAGGTAGAGAATCCAACTCTTTTTGCTTCTTCCTGAAGCTGAAAGAGAACCTAACTCCTTTTGCTTCCTCCTGAAGCAGGCAGAAAACCCAACACCTTTTGCTTCCTCCTGAAGCAGGTAGAGAACCTTGATCAAATGCTAAAGTTTACCTCTCTAGAACCCCGAAGAAGATGTGGATCAAAGGTTGGAGCAACCTTGGTGAAACCCTCTCACAAACTCCCCCTTATAAGATCCTCTCTCTCTCTCTCTCCTCTAAGCTCTCTCAGTTCAAGATAGCAACAAAATATATGCTAAACGGTATAATAAGTGCTCTTAAATAGAAGAGCTTCAGAAAAGCTCTTAGTTTATATAAACTGATATTATCATCTAAGACGATATGGATATCATCATTGCTGATCAGCGTAAATTTTGCTCAATCATCCCGGTCGGTTTGGACAATCAAAAAATTTTTGTTCATATAGTCCATGCCGATATAATATCGTCTTATTTGATTAGTTCAAATCTTAGAATATCAACCAGACCATTGCTCTGAATAGATGTCTGGATGATTGAAAAATAGCTTGATCATCTAGGATGATCTCACGATCGGCCATGACGATTAATACAAATTTGTGAAAATCATCTAGAATATCGCTCTAAATAGACGTTGACCGATATGTGATCGTCTAGGAACAACTAAGGTTTTTGAACTAATTGTCTCGGATGATCCTGCGATCATTCCGGACAATGTGATCGTGATAATTAAGCCTTAATTATTTTCCTTAATTACCAAATTAATTTAGGCATAATTGAGCTGCATTGTCTAGACCGATGTCCTGGATAATGTCGAAAAATAAAGAATACCTAAATAGATCTAGTGGCTGATTTTTTCTGATTTGAGCATATCATCCCAGACGATGCAAACATCGTCCAGGACTATGTGACGGCTACCTTAATAAAGATGCCCTCATTAGTGTTTCTATTTTTAGTCGAATCGTCTAGGATGATATAGGAATTATCCTGGATGATGTACTCAAAATAGAGAACTCTGAGTTAGACAAAAAAATTCCCCCAAGTGTGTGTGTGCAAGATTACTTAACATCAGGAACCATATTTATTACAAATAGATTCAAGAAAGGAAAAAGTTTACAAACTGACTCAGACCTAGTCAACCCAATCTTGAGCTGGTTTAAACTGCAATCTTGAACCTGTGGACCTGAAATGTTAGTATGCAAGGAAATTGTAGAAAAATAGAAGTATTTGCAATCATCAAAATTCTATTTCTGAAAACAGATATGCAACATTATTTCTGCTGAGCTCATGGGGATTTTCGTTGGTCTTGACAGTTGCCATATGAAAGGAATTACTAATGTGGCTATCGAGGTGGATGCTTTACTTTTAATTCAGATTATTCAAAATGAGAATGTGTGACATCATAATCTTTTTCTATTTTATTAGAAGAATAAAACATTTGCTTGCTGACCTGAATTATACTATAGCCTATATTTATCGTGAAGGCAACGCCTGTGATGACTTGTTGGCCAAATTTGGGTGTCAAATTGTGGTTGTTTAGGAGTTTGAGGAGGCCAATTTGCCTTCTTTTTTGAGAGGTTTCGTCAAGCTGGAAAAACTAGGTTTACCTTATATTAGAACTAGCTAATGGTTGTTCTCTTGTTTGTTTGATGGGTCTGTTTTATCTCTGGTGTCTCTACTGTTGTCATTTGTTTTCTAGTTTATTTTTCTATTTGGGTTGTTGGTTTTTCCCCCGGGTTGCTATTTTTCAAGTTGTTCTAATAGGTTATTTCTATGAGGTGGCATTTCTTTTGTTCCAGCAGTACCTTGTTAATTTTGTTCATTTTTTGTTTTATTGGCTGGGGTTATCTGAGCTTGGCCTTTTGATGTTGTGGGCTATATGCTTTTCTGTATGTTGAAGTATGGTTGTTGGTTTCATTCCTAATTGCTTGAATGCTTAGGTTATGAAGGTGGATATACTGGGTGTTTTTTATTACTTTGGTTTATATGTGCTTCTTATATTTATTTGGTCTACTAATATGTTTGTTGGTGTTCTTCTGGGTGCCTCTATTCTTCTGAGTACAAAACATCACCATTTTTCATGGGGCAGTGCAGTGTACAGTTGTGTTGGTCTAGTTCATATTCTACTGTGGCTGGTCAGTGTTGGGCGATTCTTTCCGATTACTGGTAATTATTGGTTCGTTGCTGTATTTTTCTTTTAATTTCTTGTGCTATTTTTTGTAGGTTTTCTATGGCCTGGATGGAATTTTTTGGCAGAAAGATTGTTCTGAATGTGAATTTGTGGATCTTTCTATTTTGGGTGATTTCTTGGTGCCGCCTTAGATTGTATCTATGCAATTTTATATTTTGGTTAGTATGGGACAATCAGCTCTTAGGTTTTCTTTCTTTTACTGTTTGTAGCTCTTCGAGCATTAGTGAGTTGAATGTCCCCTTAAGGACTATGTAATTTTTATTTATATTAACACGCACGCCCCTCCATGGGTTTCTTCTAAAAATAAAAATAGGATCTTCAGCTAACTAAAAGGTGAAGATGGAAGACAAAGCTTTGGGAGTTCGATTACTTTTGGCTTTGTCGAGCTCGGATCGAGGCCAGGAGGCTTATGGATAGGAGGATTCGGCGCAGGTCAGTCGGCTAAGGCTTGAGTTTGGTCTGGTAAGGTAGGTTGGGATGGAGAGGTTACGAGTAGGCGTTGGAATGGGTATAGGACTCGTAGAGAAGAAGCTTGTGTGCGGGAAAGAACAACTGATGTTTTCGGTTTCATCTCGCTTGCATTTTATCGATAGGAAGAGTGGGAGCTTCTATGAAACGAGCAAATCCTGGGAAATGATGTAGACGATGCTGTCAACACCGAATAACAGAGATACTAATGGGATTTACGCAGGATTTTAGCTGGATTTTATGGACTCAACGAATGTAAGGTATGTTTGCTCTCCTTTTTGTTCTTTTATACATAGGTCAACATTATGTTACATGATTAAATATATTTTACATGTATATATTATATATCAAATTTATTTTAAAACTATATATCTAAAAATTAGTTATGTAAAAATAATTTATCATTAATAAATAGATAAAATTATTTTTTATAGTGTTATAAATAAATTATTATTATTAAGTAATAAATAAGTATTATTCATACTATAAATAATTAATTAAAAAATCTATTTAAATAACAAATTGCATAAATATTATATATTTTATGTGCATATAGCCTTATACACCTCTCAACTCTTCTCTTTAATCTCACATCACTTGAAAATTCTTTGTTACTATTGTTTATATGGTCTTTTGAGTTTCTAAGTGTTAAGAGATCACATGGAGTGGTGGGCCATGTGTAGATGCTTCATGATAGTTTGATTACAACACATAATATTTATTATAATTCCTTTATTTATTTAATGAATAATATAATATCATCATTTATTTCATTATAATTATTTAAATAATATGGCAATTGAACTGACCGGTTTGCTGGTTGAACTGTAATTGGTTTAAAGTGATTATATGCATAGACGATTTTCAGGTTGTACCAGACCAAACTTGTGGTCGGTTTGCGGTTGAACCTGTCCTTTAATGTGGTTCTATGTAGAGACGGTTTTTAGACTGTACCAGACCGGACTTGTGGCCGGTTCGCGGTTGAACTAGTCGAACCGACCGATTTGGTCCGGTTTTTAAAACAGTGGTGATACGTAAGTGCATGTGCTCAATAAATAGTATAAAATAAAGCATCCTTTCATGAGCATCAAGAAAATACTTCTAAAATTTTTTTATTGAATTAAATTACTATAATTTTATTCAAGGAAACACTTGATCCCTACAACTAAATTTTAACTTGTCGAACTTATGATTACCAGACCGGACTTGTGGCGGGTTAGGGTTGAACCGGTTGGTTCGGTCCGGTTTTTAAAACCTTGGTGATACCTAAGTGCATGTGCTCAATAAATAGTATAAAATAAAGCATCCTTTCATAAGTATCCAGAAAATACTTCTAAAAAATTAGTTATTGAATATAATTACTATAATTTTATTCAAGGAAATTAACACTTATCCCTGCAACTAAATTTAACTCGTCGAACTCATGATTTCTGTAAATATGCTTGTTGAATATTTTAATTTGATTTCATTATTAAAAATATACCTTATTAATAAAAAAAAATAAAAATTTTGTTCTGTTTTGATAAAAATAAATAAATAAATCAATTTAATTAATTAAATTTATTCTTATATGAATTAATTTATGGGATTCATCTAAGTTTATTCTTAAATGATTGCAAGTCCTAGTTGACTATAATTATCTTAACTAAGAACTTATTTAATTTTTTTAGTTTAATGAAAAGTTAGGCAGGGTCCTCATATTTTTTGACAATAGAAAAGGTTCATTCTTAGCATGCCTTACAGAACAAAAATTGAAGTATTTTACCGTTATGCTTATAAGTAATAACTCTGAAGCTAACAAACTTTTCGAATATAAAAGTCTCTGTTTGATTAAATTTTTATCTGCTTTGTAATAGAAAAAATAACTCGGAAAAACAAGCAGGTCGTTTGGATAAAATAACTGGGGTAATTTAAACTTTTTTTTTCTTAAAAAATTACTTCTTAAACCATCGAAATAACAACTGACCCATAAAATACTATTTAAAATGATCTGATTAAAAGAAAATAAAAACTAGAAAAATATATACGATACTAAATCAAAGGCAAACATTTTTCCAATTGCTCATTGACTATATATTGCTTTACAACTGAACCATTCAGTAAAGTCAGCTGCTTCTATATATTGCCATCATAATTTTTAGTCTCACCTACTGTCTATTCTTAAATTATATCTAAATAATAAGCTCTACTGTTACATTATATCTACCTACATTGGTTCCCTTTGAATTCATTTTCAGACAGAATTAACCTATCTATGAGTTGTGCCAGCCGTTTGGAACCAGGCCCCGGCTGAAGCCTCCAGTCCTCCCCGATACTTGAGCACTGTGGGCTTCCAGAGCACCATCCTCCTGGAGTCACCCAATCTTTTTTCCTTCTAAGCTGCTCCATATCGATCATATCAAGCACCGGATCATTTTTATTGAACTTCCTTGCAAATGGGGCGTTGCTGTCGATCATTTTGGCAGTGTCATTGAGGGTGAGGGCATGTGGGTGTTGCTTAGGAGGAGTGTCCCATGAAATGTAGTGTAGGTCATGGTTCACAACTGTTATATTAAACTCTGGTGCGTTGCATATAACTGTTTGGAAGTAGCCTTCAGGGGAGGAAATAAAGTTGGTATAGTACATTAGAAGCGTTCTGGGCAGGTTTTCCCAGCCCCAGATGCAGAATTCAACAAATTCTCTAGATAGAGCCATCCATGCAGATCCTGTGAATTGAGTTGTTGAAGGTTTTGAAAATTTTTAATCAATGATTTTGATTGTAGGAAAAAAAAAACTATGATTTTTAATATATGCATGGAGCATTTTAGATTTCCTTAAATTTATAGAATATTATTTAAAGCATATTGGATTATTTTTATTTGAGAAATTTTTAAGAACTGGCTCTTGCGCGTGCATTTCTTCCACATAATCATACAACTTTGGGAAATTTTCCAAAAGCAACTATTATTCTTCTAAATAAAAAATTATTTTTAAACAAAGTCATAATTTCATCTTTGTTGAATGTGAAAATTAAATTTGAATTTGAATGAAATTTACAGAAAATCTATAAAAGTAAAAAAAACTCGAATTTTATGTGAAATTACATATATAATTTAATTATGAATTCATTAAATATCATTATTTTTCAAAATATAATTTATAACATCAAATAAGTCAACGAGGCTATATAGAAAGGCATTCTCCATATATCTATGCGTTACTTGTTAAGAAGTGCGCATAAATGTACGTTAAAATTTTCTGAATAAATTCGTTTTAATAGAAAAACGACTGTGACTGTCATAATCGGCCATTACTATTTCCGTGTCTTCAGAAAAATTTTTCTTAGACATAATTTTCTTACGCAATAAATAAAAAAACAGTAACTCTTGTACGTGCTTTGGCAATATAAATTTTAGAATTAAAGTAAGACATAAAAATCACTTATAATAACGTATATAGTTTACCTGTGAATAGCTTAAACGCATTAGGCAGTTCTCTCTTTTGCATCATCCATAGCACATCTGACTTTGCCGTTTTGTAAAGCCCTGGATCTAAGATCAATGGTCTAGCCCTGTGCAACCTGGGAAAAAAAAAATCATAACTAAGAAAATTAAAATAAAAATGAAAACGTTAAAAAAATAAAAAATCATCAAATTTATACGAAGCAACTTACTCCTTCCATTTCAAATTACTCGCATGCTCGATAAAATTTAAGTTTCTCGGCAATTTTGACATAGTGAAGAGCAAATCTGTGAACACAAACAAGAAGTGTTAACAGCTTTCATTTTATTTCCTTGTGCATTGTTACGTATTATTATGTGCTTACCATCTTGCGTCACGAGAGGATAATCTGAAGCACTAAGATTGATGAACCAATCCCAGTTCCTGCTCTTCTTCAGTAGAATAGCACAAGCGTGCAGTGTATTTGCCACCATTGTTGGCCCTCTATAGGTGACCATATTTGCCTTCGTGATCACATGAACATTTCCAACTATAGCGAATAGGGAGAAGTTTGCCGTACGAGCAACAAGCTGCTCCCTCTCTACCTTGGGTGAGTTGAGGTCAAGATGTAGGACATAGATGTTTCGAGGATGGTACAGAGCGAGTAGGGTTCTCCAAAGCCGGTTGAGATCACCTTTTGATCCGGAGACAAGGTAGGCGAGGCGGGGTATGTTCATGTTAGATGGAGTGGGCGGTGTTTTGTCAACGAAAATAGGGGAGGAATAAGATTGATGGATTTGGAAGGAAATGAGGCTGGAGAGGGAGCTGAGGAGGCCCATGTTGAAGGAGGTGAGAAGGAGGAAGCTGAGGAGGAGAGAGGTCATGAAGAGGGGGAGAACCCATCTTTTCTCTACTTGTGAAGGGGGCATAGAGACTCTTCCTTTCATGAATAGAGTTTCTCCACTATTCTCCATCTCGAATATGTTGGCATTCATCTTTTACTGATTTTGTTTGTGTTTGAGATAGAAAGATGGGATTTTGCGAGTTGGTTATTGAAGGGATTGTAAAAACGTTGCAACTTTGGGTTTTGGAAGGAAGGAAAACAGTGTAGTAAGTAGGAGATAAATTACTAAAGGATGAAACTGATGATAATATGGCACATAAAGCACTTGCGTCGAATTTGTTTCGCGACATTACTGCTCGTTGTCTCGTTGTTGTTGAGACTTAAACATGAGAATCAAAGCTGTTCATCAAATGAACACGTAAGAGAGAGAGAGAGAGAGAGAGAGAGAGAGAGAGAGAGAGAGAGAGAGAGAGAGAGGGATGAGGTAGGGGGGTTTTGAGTGAATTTAATCACAAACTCACATACACATGCAAGCTCTCAAACACATCACCTCATGATTGGGGCCTAAGCTCTCAACTAATAGGCTAAAATGGGCAGCATCACTTCTTAATTAAATATAAGTTCACCTCCTCTTTTAAATCCTTTCACATTAATCTTATTGGAGCATCTCTACTCTTTTGTGTAAATGCCTAAGCCATCTATATATATTTGCTCTCTTTACGTATTGAAAAAAAAAAGTTATTCCAATCATTTCTCAATCTATCTTTTTCACTTTTGATTTATTTGAACATGTTAATTTTCAGTACGCTCAGTTTCTATGAATAATTTATGGTCTCCAATTTATAATTTCATAAAATTTTTCTTTAAATCTTAAGGACATTCTTGCTGCATTTTTTTTCTTTCTTTTCATCATTTTAGTTTTTTCTAAATCTTTTGATTTGTTTTTTGATCCATATGTCACCTTCATGAATATAATGTGTAACTATCGTAGATGCACCAGATGATATTAATAAACAAATGAGATTGCAATTGAGACATTGATGTAAATTTATCTGATATGAATGAATGTGATATCATTATTAATAATTAATGTGTATATGGCTGCAACACTCATCATTTTTCCACTAGCTGAATTTGATGCAAAATTAGGAATGGACTGACCATCTAAATATCATGTCGTAATAGATTGTTATAAGAGAAACATAAGCTTTCATATACCTGGTGGGTCAGTCTTTAACGTTAATTAATGGTGTAGGAGGAGTCGTATCTTGTCTTATATCAACAATTAAGGCTTGTAAAATGATTTATCATGGGTGTGTTGGGTATCTTGCTCATGTAGTGGATACCAACAAATCATACCTCATTTTAGATAGTGTTATGGTAAATGCCACTTGCAAGCAGCTCCCCTTTTCGCATGCAACTCGATTGAACACCCTCACACGCGACCTCTCTCTCCAATCACAACAATTAGGCTATTCTCCCACCTCCTCTCATGATTCTCCTGCCCGTGGGTCTTCCTCCTTCCATTTACAATGAAAGGAGACCTAGGGCATCATATTCCCTTCCTCCTTTATTACAGCAACTGTCGAAACCTCATTTCTCTTTCCCCTTTGTTCCTTCTCACAACAACAACCGCCAACGAATGTTCCTCAATCTCCTCTTCTTTTATGGTGAGTTTCTTTCCCTCTCCTCCTATCTTTCCTCCTCTCTTTTTTCTTCTTATGCTTCTAATCACCTACTTAAGAATTCTTTTAGTTACAATGTGAAGTTACATTTGATTTGTATTAGTTTTGTATAGACGTAAAGTTCTCGTAGGATTTTAACTTGCTTAGGGAGGAGGTCTTATTCCATCAAGAAAACCTCTATTCAGGATTCATGCATTAATTGATTAATTCTCCTTAAATGTTGTTATCAACTTCCATCGTGAAATCAATTTCATATAATGTCTTATTCATTATTGATAGTTTTTATTGTTTCTTTTCTTTCCACTTTTCACTAGTGGCCTTCTAATCATGCATTTAATCAATCACCCTCAAACATAGTACATGGAAATATACAATACAACTAGTTTTAGATTTCCACCAAATATTGTCTCGTGGCTTCTATGCTTCTATCTGAAAGAAAGAAAATCTCATTGTAGAGAAGAACAGAAGTCATGGTCCATAGTCACACCCGCTCCTCATTTTGATGGCCATCAATGGAGGAAATATGGTGAGAAGCATATTAGCAATAGTGAATTTCCAAGGCGAGTATCATCCTTATACCATAAAAACTTTTCTTCTTCTTCTTCTTCTTACCTTTCGAATGTTTCAGAATGATAAAAAATCAATTTTTGTGGTCATATATGTATAGGAACTATTACAGATGCAGCCATTTTAAAGAGCAAGGATGCCATGCAACAAAGACAATTCAGCAAAAAGAAGGCAATGATGAGCCGCCCAAGTATATTGTAACTTACAAAATGCATCATACTTGCAAGTCAATGGTGCCCATTTACTCTCTTTTTCTTGAATCTACAACACAGAGTGCCCCAATTATTAGCTTTGCGCCAGGCAATACTCCACATAATAAGCAAACTGAGACTTACAAAGATGAAAATGATTTCAAAAAGCATGATCAGATTATAAGTTCATCCAATGTTCCTATGTTGATTGACTTGAACTTGACCATTGAAAGCAAATAATAATGTAAGTCTCCTAAGGGATCTATTTCTGTAAGCCCTTTCCAGCTTTGTTGTTGACATGATATCTATTTATTTATTTATTTATTTATTTTTGGTGTTTTTTTAACTTGATAGTATGTACATTTATGGAGAATTTCTAAAGTGAGTTATAATAATTTGGCTGATGATTTATGTGTTAATGAATTTGCATTTGGACCCAAGCTTAATTTTTTAAGAGCCTAATTAACCACCTTAAATTGAGATTGATCTTCATATTTGATTTGTTATTTTTACTTCTTCTTCTTCTAACTCTTCTTGGTTGGATGTGTCATACATGATCTCAAACCTCCTCCTATCCATGATGAGGGTTAGATCAATGGCCTCCTGCAAGTTATGTTCTCCTAAGGAGAGGTATTTTTCCTTTTCTTGGATTCTTCTACGAGGAGAAGCTTATGGCCCAATTTTAATTTTTCCATCGTTGGTGGAATATAGACCCTCATCATGGATAGGAGGGATATAGACCCTTCTATAGATTTGGACGGTGAATTCTTTCAAAGTTTCATATAATGATTAGATATCTACCTTTGGTTTCCTTAAGGAGATTGCAAGCCACCCTGCCTTATTGGAGATGATTAAGTAACTATTTATTTATTTCTTTACCAAATCTACCAACTCTTGAGTCTTCTACAATTGTTGATGGCATAGAATAAGAAACAACAAGTTTTCAATCAACAATAAAGACAGAGAAGTATGGCAACTTTGATTATGAAAATGTCAACTTATAATCTTTACATTAAGTCTTCTTTCCTTGTAGGATAGTTGAGTATGAGAATAAGATTACAATCCTTAAATAATCTCAACATCTCCAAAGGGAATTGAATTAACATGTGATTAAACTGCGATGGGTAGAAGCACAAACCTAGATTGGTTAGGGACTTTTTGGGCTCAATAAAATAGAATAATTGGATGGTTATTCGTACGAGAAGTGGATGCTACGCTAGTAATGTATCTATCAAGGATCATAATATAGAGTTGGTGAAAGAGTTATTTTTGAAGGATATTTCATCACTGGGTTGGGCTTAAAAGCACCCATTGTAGTAGGATCAGTAGGAAGTGAAGAGGATGATGCTGTTGAAGAAGATGATGGAATCCAAGTTACAGAAGAAAGAGAGAGAGGAAGCTCAAAATATCTATGGTGTATGAAGAGCTCTCTTTACTAACCTAAACACCCTTATATAGGTGATGTGCAGTGAAGAGTGGCAAGACGATGTAATCATTCAAATTCATCCTTTAACATGATCATGCCTCATCCATACACAAATCTTATCAAACTAGATAATTGAATTAATTATTACCCTTTCTTAGGAAATATAGAGCTTGTCAAGCTTGACATATTGGTCTTGAGGTTAAATCATCTCTAGAGTTTTCATCTCGCATCAATATATTATAGCTTGAGAATTACAAGATTTATCATATTTGAACTAGCATCTGAAGCATCATTCAGAGCATTGTCTTAATTATCATATTGCCCATTGATTACGGAATATGAAGTATTTTGAAATTTATGCAATCAATGATCCACAACCCATTAATTCAAGCTTAATCCTTTAAAATATAAAATCATTCGTCTTCAATTCAATAATATCAACAATCACCCCAGCATCTATAATCTTCCACTCTCAAGGTAATTAAATGAACTATTTTATCATTTTGATATGCGACTAAATATTTACCTAACTATTGATATGTTTTCTTACATGAAAGGAATTTTTAATGTGTCACTAATTACTAGCCATAAACCTCTTAATACTTTGGAAATAAATAAAGCATAGTAGCAATACTACTACAGTGGACATAGATCACTTGGACTAAGCCACTTTAAAACTCAGCCTTTGTGATTTTATTATTCTTAAAGTATTTCCCAATCCTCTTGAACCTCGATATGAAGCTAACATTTTTTGACCATATAATATCAATTTTTGGAATCTTGGTCAAAACAAAGTTTCATCACTTATAGAAAGTCATTTAGAAGCTCAAGCATCATAATCTTTGGACCTCCTAATATTAAGAAGGCTTGAATGGAACTTCTACTAGCAGCTATTTATCAATGTTAGAGGCTTAATGGAGATCATGGAACACATGTTGAGCTAGGAGGACATCATATATATGTCAATTGTTGGTTGATGGTTGATCGAATAAAGATTAACAAATGAGAAATTGAGCATGACATGAGTAGGAGTAGGCATCATGGACCTCTTGAATTGAGAAAGTGATGATGAACAATTGTTATATGATATGATATTCTCTAATATTGTAGTTTCTCTATAGAGAAGTGGCGAAATGTTGTCTCATTGATGGCTGAACTCGAAAGTGATGGTTGATGGCATACAAGAGATAAAAAGATGAACCTTAGGTGCATATGGAGAATTCTAATTAGTTTGTTAAGGAAAATTATTATAGATGAAAGTGATTGATTTGCTCTTTTCAACGAGGCTCGAAATAGTTATGTTGATATGATTAGAAGGAGCAAGGCATCAATTTAGATATGTTTTTTCTTCTTTTTTATCAAATATATCACTCATATATAGCATCAATTTAGATATTATCAGCTAAGGAATCCAAAATATTAGTGCTTCTCTAATTCATTTTCTCATATGCTAACCTTCTTTAAGGATTGATTTGAATCTAATCTATCTCAAAGTGAAAGATTGACAAGACAAAAAATTAGATTTTTCAATGCATGTGAATGGTCCTAATGGAGCATGAGAAACAACTCATCACACATCAACATGATTATCTTGATACATTAAACAATCAACATAAAATCCTATGAAAAAAGTAAATAACTTAAATAGATACAAATTTACTGACTAATCATAATATAATCATCGATAAACCATCAAAAAATTACAATGATCCAGCATGAATCTCAATGCACATTTAAATGGAAAACTTTTGAAATTAAATTCATGAAAAATTTGGACTTTGATTTCAGCAAATTCATAACTAAAATGAAAGTCTCGATGAGACAAATCCAACGACACCAAAATTGCTCCAATCCAAACCCAACTCAGCTAAAAGCAATGATCTGAAACATAGTTGGAAAGTTAAAAGCATAAATTAGGTGATCATATGATCTCCGAATATAGTATGTTTATAGTAGAATAATGTGGCTCTTCAACATCAACATTTGTAACTTATACCTATTAAAATCTTTTCACCTGGCGAAGGCTCTGCGGTTTTTCCCTTTTCGGGTTTTCTACATAAAAAAAATTCTTGTGTTTTCAAGCTCTCATTAATCTATTTTTTGTGCTGGATACTCGAGCATTGTTAAGACGAATAATTCTCTCACTCTATCGCAACGAATCTACCAGCTCACAACAACTACTATGTATACACAAAATAAATAAGACCAAACTAGTTTTTCCAAGAAAGTTTATCATTACATAACTTACAAGATTTTTCAATAATAATAAATTTTATAAGAAAACTTTCATAGAATAAAATTTCAAAGAGAAAAAAAAAAAAAAGGAGTTATAGAAGCTAATGTGACTAATAGGTAAGATTATTTAACAGAAGCTTAAGTTCTTTACTAATCCTTACTAGTAATGACAAAGATGCATAAAAAACGAAGAGTGGATGCAAGCATACAAGATTGTGTTCTAAATGAGCTGAACTGAAATTGAGCCAAATATGACCCCCCACCCCTACCCCTTATTATACTTAAATTTGGTTCATAATCTAAAAAATTTTTAAATATATAAATTTGTCTATTTATTATGTTAATCAATTATGTAATAGATTGTATCAAGTCATAGCCTAACTTATTAAAAGCTCTCTATCACATTAATTTTTATTTATTTAATTTACAGGTATTTATTATTTAAATTAATATAATAACCGACAAATCATGTAATGAAACTTTTTTCACATTGAAATGAATTATTAATATTATTGATTTATTTATGTGAGCTTAAGTCTTATAATCAATTATATCATTAAGGTTTCTTTTGGGACAGCTTTTTTCCTTGTTTCTTGAAGCAGTTTTTTAGTATAAAAATTAAATTTTTTGTACTAGAATGCTGCTTCAAGAAGCAGTAAAAAAGCCGTCCCAAATAAAGCCTAAATTTTTCATTATAAGCCAATCACATTAAAATATATTATTAAAGAAAATTAGTTTAGATTTCATAAAATTTTCAGTAGGATTACAATTTTCTTTTTCATTTGAAAATTTTATATAAGAAAGCTTTTTAGCACATTTATATTTATAAAAAAAAAAGGAGAAATTAGGTTTTTCGATTGACTAATTTTTAAAAAAATTTAAATTTATATAATAATTAAAGTTAATAAGCAATTATATTATATTTAGCGAATTTGAGTTTAATTCTTATTCTATTGGATTTATTGAGTTTTTTTTTTTCCATATGATTTCATATTACTTGATATATTGATTAAAAAATCAGTTGTTTCCTTCCAAATCCGAGCAAAGTTGGAAAAGTAGGAAAAGCTACGATTTAGCTATGCCACGGCCCATAATCATAACCCGGATAGGAGAGTAGATAAATCAAGCTGATTTGTGAGTCAGTTTAAGGTTTAGTTTGGGACAGTTTTTTGTTGCTTCTTAAAGCATCTTTTTAGTACAAAAAATTTAATTATTGAACTAAAAAGCTGCTTTAAGAAGCAGCAAAAAAGCCGTCCCAAACAAAGCCTAAGCTTGGCTAGAAAAATGACTTTTCAGCTGAACTCGATGCACTAAAAAGAGAAGCTTGAGCTAGCCCACTCCGCTCATTAGTTCGTGAACATACCCGTTTAAAAATATTAATATAAAATACATTTAAAATATAATAACAATCAAGATTATGAGTACAAAATTATAAAAATTGTTTAAAATATATATTTAGCATTTTTATATTAAGTGATTCTTTATTATTATTATTTTTATATTTTTCATTATTTTATCATTGTATTCTATTTCATAAAAACGAGCCGATTGATCAGCTGGGGTTCGAACTCATAGAATAAAACTCTACATTGAGCTCTAACACATTAAAAAAAAATTATTTGTATTAAAATTATGTTATTGAGATTATCTTGAGACTGCCTAAAAGTATTAATTTAAAGTTTAAAGTTTTTAAATTGAATTTAAATACAATTAGAACCTAACCATCATAAAAATCATTATTTTAAAATAATGATTTTAATTAATACTTACAACTTACAAGCACATCATACATGCAATTAAAATAAAAATTATAATTATAATTTTCTTAAATCACATATATGTATACACTCAAAATTGATCGTATACATTAATTTATGCTAGCGAATTTTGGTTAAAATGAAATTATGAATCATTTATCGAAATCTAACCTTGCTAAAACGACCGTATACTTGTTCTGTTCCTCTAGGGCGATTCCGAGGCCAAGGCCTATGATCCTGTTGGTTCCATCCGCCGTTGTTTGTGTGAAGTGAGAAAAGACATCGGACATGGAGGTCAATAGCTCTGAAGGATTCACTTCCAGGAGGAACAAGGCCATCGTGCACGCTCTTTGCAAGCGGCTTCTCCTCGATCCGGTAGGCGTTCAAATCACAAAAATCGTTATCCCAATATCTTATTTGCTTGGTAAAATCGGCATCTTGTTGTTCTCTATCTGATTTATTTCAGCCCTGTCTGGTAAAAAAATATATCCTTTCAACATTCTAGTGTAGGATACAATAACCTCAACTTTTAAGAAATATGTTAGATTTCCCACATCCTTGATTTCAAAGTTTTTGGCTTAAAGTTGTGAATAGAACGCAAGGGAAATCTGTGATTTCAAAATATGCATTCCTTCTTTGATTTCAAGTTATGTACACTTTATTTGTTAGGAATTGTGAATAGAATCCAAGAGAAATTTTCATGTATACATCTCATCTTCAAGGTCCCTATTAAGAAAGGCTTTTTTAACATCAAGATGATGTATTGGTTCATCAACTTCACTTTTTAGGGATTGGAGGATTTGAATGGTTTTGAGTTTAGCAACATGTGCAAAGATCTCTAAGTAGTCTATACCATATGATTCAGTGTACAACTAGGTGGGCTTTGAATATTTTTTATATTCCCAACAGCTTTATATTTAGTTGTAAATTGCAATTTGCATCCAACATTTTTCTTACCTAGATGTAAATCCGAGATCTCCCATTTTTTTTTCTAAATCTTGCTTTTTTTGAAAGCGATAACTTTCCAATTAGAAATATTGATAGCATTGTGGATGTATTTAAGAACTTGTTCTTGAGTAAGATTGCTAATAAAAAGCTAAAACATGGATGAGAGGATTAGTATAAGAGATAAAGTTATGGATATGATAATTGATGTAAGTTTTTAAACCTTTTCTTTCGGCAATATGTTTTTCAAGGTTATTATAGAAGACTATTGAGTTCTGTAATATCCTTATTATCTTGTGTTGTTCATGTAAATATTGAATAATGTACAAACTTATGGTCTTGCTTTTTGCATGCAGGATCAACTTGTGGCTGCTTCCTTCTACATTATGTCATTAATTTTTTTTTATTATTTTGAGTGGAAGGAAGGTGATGCAATAAAAAAAAAAAACACCGACCAGATTGCAAACAAAAAGACAATTTTTTTTTCTTAAAACATAGACAAACATAACAATATTATTAAAATAAAGACATATTACAACTAATAAAAACTTGAGAAGAAAGATACAAGTGGCATGAGAACTGTGGAGAGAAGAAGTAGGTAGAAATCCGAGATGAATTTTTTAGAAGATAGGGAGTTAGAAGACAATAGCTCACAAGCTATGTAAGCCTGTAAGTTTTTGTTCAAAACACACTTTACAATTCACTATCTTCTTTTTTTCAAAGGAAATTAGCCACCTTATATAGGAGAAAAAGGAGAAAAATGTACTAAATGCTCTCATTAATGAGCCACCCAAATTAACCAATAAAAGTCTCTCAAGCTAGCCCATTTAATAAAAAGTTAATGCACTTAGTATAGGAAATCAGCAAGGTGGAAATTGAACAACCACAATGGAAAGAAAAAATAGCCACATTGGAAGACCAAACAACCACCAAAAACCTCTCCAAATCAGCACCTACCTTGACTGCAACAATTCTCCCATAGTGGAAGAATCTCATCCGCTGATGAGAATGCCTCAGAACTTCCATGATGTTCCAAATGCACTATTTCTAATGGGAGATCTTTCTCTTGAATTGGAACTTCGGCTTGTTGATTGTTTTGGTAATTCTTTTTTTTAATAGAAAGGAAGACACACACACGACAACCTAAGGCTCTGGTACCAAATTGATGCAATAAAAAAACACCGACCATATTGCAAACTAAAAGATAACTATTCTTCCTTAAAACATAAACAAACATAAACATGATAACAATATTATTAAAACAAAGACACTACAACTTATAAAAACTTGAGAAGAAAGATACAAGTGGAATGAGAACCATTGAGAGAAGTAAGTAGAAGTCCGAGACGAATGTTTTAGGAGATAGGGCGGTAGAAGACAATAGCTCGCAAGCTATATAAACGCGCAAGTTTTTGTTTGAAACATTTTTCACAATTCACTTTCTTCTTTTTTTCAAAGGAAATCAACCACCTTATATAGGAGAAAAAGGAGAAAATGGAGAAAAATGTATTAAATGCTCTCTTTAACGAGCCATCCAAATCAGCCAATAGAAGTCTCTCAAGCTAGCCCATTTAATGAGGAGTTAATACACTTAGTATAGGAAAACAACAAGGTAGAAACCAAACAGCCACCATGGGAAGACAAAACAACCACATTGGAAGACCAAACAACCACCAAAAACCCCTCCAAATCAGCACCTACCTTTGACTGCATCAAAAGGGGAGACAAGTTGATTGCAGAATTTTCAATGGCTTCTTTTGAATTGTGAGTGTGATTAGTGATAGGAATTACAAGAATAAGATTTTACAATTGATATTCTTTGGTAAAGTCTCCTCCTAAATATCTGATTTGAGAAAGAATGATCGTGTTTCAAGGAAGCTCACATTTATGGAGTTTTAGAACCGTTTGGTAGTAGACATTTATATCTCTTTTGGTTGGTGGATTACTTGATAGAAATACATGTGATAGCTTTTTATTTATCTTGCTTCTATTGTGGGGATGATGTGGACATAGACTAGCATCCAAAATTTTTGTTATAGGAAGAATGAAGATGATTCTTCTGTTGTGATAAGCTTCATGAGGCTAAAAATGGGGGTTTTGAATTTGAGAATATGAGATAGAGCATTCAATTTATGACTTAGGCTGCAGTTAACACTTTCACCTTGAAAATATTTTGAGATAAGGCTGGTGAACGTAAGAGGTTTGGCTACATCCAAGATACAGATGTTATTCATTTCAATGACTCCATTTTGTTGAGCAGTGTGAACACACGAGCTTTGGTGAATAATTCTTTATTTTGATAAACAACCACCCAAGACTAATGCAAAATATTCTTTAGTAGTATCAGTTTTTAATAATTAGATTTTTGTTTGTGATTGGGTTTGGATCGTGGTACTGAAGTGCACAAAAATTTATCCAACTTCAAGAATTTTTCATCAAGAATACCCATGTAGCTCAAGCGTAGTCATATATGAAGGGGATGAACTATCTTGATAATGTTTATATTTTTTACTTTAGTGGTTAGTTAGATATCATAGTGGTTGAGTGAAAATATATGTGAATATTTATGAGGTAGTCTGAGATAATGTTTCTGAATATGTTTTGAAAATTGTCAAATTTTACATTATACATCTTTGGAGATAATTTTGACAAGTGGAGGAAACAATTTTCTAAGTTACATTAAATTTGGGTTGCGGAGAAGGCAATAATATAACATAAACTCAATTTCTTTATTGAAATTTAGATTGATGGATGGTGTGGTCTTTAGAGCTTGAAGGGTTATTAGGTTTTAGGAGTTAGAATTTTGAGCCTACTTCAACAATATCAATTGTCTTCCCTGAATTCAAGTCCTTAAACAAACGTATGTTTGGTGAGAATTTAGCAATCCAGTGATGATCACAGGTAAGTTTATTGACATATAACCAGTTGCAGTCTAGGTTATATAAAAGCATGGCTGAGATGAGTTTTAAGAGGTTAGAGATTGCAACAATTCCTATTTCTACAACATCGGCTGTAATTCTATTAACAATTTCATAGATAGATATTTTTTTTACACTTTTCAAGGATTTTAAAGAGAGAAATGTCACCTGATTAGAGACTCTAGAATCAACAACCCACATACCTTGTTGAACCTTTTTTTACATTACGGGCAGAAATAATCTTATTTGATTATTCTCAGAACATGCTTTAATGGCATGAAGAGTTGGTTGAAGGATGTGTTATTCTTGGATTGGAGTCTAAAGAAGTAGATTTTGGATTCTGAAGAACTGAAGAAGTAAATTTTTGAGAGCAACTTTTTGTTCCTTGCTGAATTTGCTTGGTTCAAGGGAATTCAAGTATTTGGCGTTAGTAGATACATGCTTTCCTTAACTTCCTTTAGTATGAGAGTCCTGATTTGACATCCAATTTTGAGATTTTTCCTAAATCTCCCAACAGGTTTCTTTTGTGTGACCTAATTTACAAGAACAACCACACTTTGACATTTCTTTCTTTTGTCTAAAGTCAGTTGATTAAGATTTTTAGAAATCACCAGTCATGAGAGTGTATCATTCTCCAGTTGATAAGATCTATGTACCATCATCGCTTGAGTTTCCACCAATTGGACCTTAGATAAGGACTGATATTATATAGAGATTTTGCGCCAATAATTCTCCCTCAAGCTTCATCAAGATCGTTGCTTAGTCCCTGAGGAACTTAAACACCAAGTTTTTCTTGATGATTGATTTATACAGTGTTTCATCATCAGGGTGATTCCAATCATGTTGTTCAAATGGATTGAGTCTTTACTATTGACTTTGAGAGAATTGAAGTATTGAGTGGCAGAGATATTACCTTGTCGTAGTTTGTGGAAGCTTCTTTCAACCGATAGGAGTTCTAATATGCTCTCAGAATTTGAGTAAGTTTCTTTAGCAATTTCCAAATCTCGATGACAGTATAGTAGAGTAAGAAATTTTCTCCTATTTTGATACCATGGAGTTCATAAGTTATGCCCTTACCATAGTATTTTTGGATTTCTGGATTTGTAGGCTGGATCTATTCTTCTTGGGGTTGGTCTTGATCTCGTGTAGTAGTCATATTTGCCTCTGCTGCATATGAACACCATTTATTGTGACCATTGGAGATAATTGTGGCCATTTTAGTTGTGACCGGCTATTGAGATCAAGTTATTTCTAGCTCCATTAGAGGGCCGATTGATGAGAATGTCTATATTAGAGTGGACTGTAAACATGGAGGGTTGCCTTCCAACTGCCATTTTGGATTTGGTCATAAGAATGGTTATAATGAAGGTTTGAGCAAAACTAGTTTTGATACCAAGAGAAAAATAGAAACTTAGTCCATGGAGGGAAAATTAAGGCATGGTGAAAGTAATTCTTCATTCTTTTCATAAATTATGTTCGGAAAAGCAACAAGGAAATGCATCAAGTATACCTAATACAGGAATCTCACTAATACAATATATCAGAATTTAAACTGCAAAATTGTGAGTGTGTTAGGGATTAAAATAAATGGAAATAAAGTAATGAGAGGACCAATTCATGATAACATCAACAATAAGCTAGCTGCCCCCCATATATTAATGAAATCTCTCCAATCATTTGCACCCTTCCTAGAAATAAACAGTTGCAACTGGCTGCCTATAAGATGTGCATAAATATGCCATTTCATGAGAATTAAATTATGAAATATGTTGGCAAATAGAGCAACCGGCAATTATATGTTTCCGAATCAGCTTGGGATTAGAATTTCTTCACTATCATCATTCTAAACCTTATGCAAAAACTTTCTAGCATAACCCACCAAATTGACATAAAAATATAATGCATCTTTTGTTAGTCATACAATATTTTGGAAAATATTATCTAAACCATCTAACCAATATGATAATGTATTTTTGTTGAACATTATAAGCGGGACACTAGTCATGTGAATGTAGATATTATCATAATGTAAATCATGAGAGTATCTTTATTGCTATTATCTACAAGTAATTGAATAAGTTCTTGACATCTTTCAATATTTCTAGTAAAATCATAACTGAGTTATTAATCTTTTAATTAAATATTTACATCATCATGATAATATTATTTTTTTACCTATATGTAATGACAATGGTATGTAGATATGTCAGCTGGACATCTACAAGATCTACAACAATATTGTGGCTATGTGGAGGGGTATGCCAATTTATTAAGTTGACAATAAAATTTACTCGTATGAGCAATTCAAGTATTCTTAACAATCAATTAAGTTAATGCCAGTATCAAGCTTACATCTAAGTATATTATGCAGTTGTTTGTATAATTCTTTGAAAATAATTTCATTTTGGGGAGAATAAAAAGGATGGTAAAAACATGTAATAAGATTCAAATTATTTTAGCAAAGGTTTCTAAAGCATTACTATGCATGATATGAGATTTACCAAATGGCATAAGGTTATGTTAGGGTCCATTCAGGTGATAAGTAATGTGTACTCCAGATGTAGCATGGGGAACAAATGGAGATGATTGAGTGTTCAATACCATTTGAGTTTTGAATTTGTTTTGTGAGTTGTATGAGGTGTAGAAAGGTTGTTGACTTGGATTGGGAGAAATTGGAGGGCTGGTTTCAGTTTATTATGATTTTGGGATTTAAATTTGAAGTGGAGTGGGGAGAAATTTTGGGAGACTAAACAAGAATCTGTTAGGTTTTGTGGAGAGTTTTGGCATAGAAAGAGGAGAGCCATATGAGGGGAAAATGGCTTACGGTGAGTGGGATTATCTTTCACATGAAAAGAATTTTATTGTCGTATATGTAAGTGTGAAAGGGAGGAATCACTGGAATGTGGGAGTAAGTGTTCTAGTTTTGGAAAAATTGACAAAAATATTTAATGTAACTTAATTTTAAATTGACCTTGTCTATGAAATCATTCAAAATTGCTAGCTCTGATATCAATTGGATCATGGCCATGAAAATATATTAGATAAAATGAAAAGATTAAGAAAAGCAACAAGCTAAGCAAGCCTTACATATAAATAAGGAGACTGCCTCATGGAAGGATTTCAGGTCTCATGTTTGATCAATGATTTAAATCTCAGAATAAAAGAATAAATAGGGCCTATTTTTTCACAAGAATAATTTTGTTTATGCCATAAACTATCTTACATGACTCTAAATTGCCTAATTGATAGATAGGACAAATAATAAAGTATTAGCGAATCACGAACAAATTGATAAGAAATTGTTAATAATTTGTTATCAAATTACTAAAACATTTATGACATTGGATATAACAATCCTAACAAAATAATGAAATGTAAAGATTTAAAATAACCCATATATTCATAATCAAATGAAAATTCATAATTTGTCCCATCAACATTCATGGAGGTTGTACTAGCTTTCAGACTCGTTTCTGTTCAAGTTAGACTGATTCAAAGCACTTCCCAAGCTATGTCTAATGCTGCTATGCGGTTGGCATATCTTTGTTAACTCTTTATTTTTCCTTGTTTTTTATTGAGATGCGACATTGTTTTTTTATTGCACATCATACTTTTGTGCACTATTGTCTGATTCCTTCTCTATCTAATGTCACAGGAGAATTTATTTAGCGAGAGTGCTGGGACTTGTGACATTCCACACTTAATCTCAAACATTTTCCAGTCATCAGCAAATGATACTTCTTTCTCAAAGAATCAAGATGAGGTTATTTCTTGTTTGGTATTTGTGGTGGAATGCTAGATGTTTTGGGGGCATTTCAGTTTTCAACTGATATTGGATTTTCTTACTTAACATTTTGAATTATTGGCTAGGTGATGAAGTGGGCAACCTTTGCTAATAATGTACCTGATAAAAAAGATGCTTATCACGCTGCTCTTAAAGATTTGAATGAAGATTTAGTCCAGAAATCGGTTCTTTTGGGAGGATTAAAACCCTCAGTAGCTGATATTATTGTTTTTTCAGCTCTGCATGATTTTGTGGTACTTACTTTTTCTTGAAATATAGATTTGGAGAATGATGTACTGGATTCTGTTTATATAAAGCTCACATTATCTCTCTGCTAACACGCAGTCTGCGGCTTCTTCTGCTATATGAATGCTGTATAATAGAAATAGTTGTAATTATGCATAGTTTGAGCACTATCTATACTATTTTTAGCCAATTCAGTGAAATAGTCTCCATTATCATATGAGCGCAAATTTAATAATACAATAAGTTTGTACATGTAAAATATTTTACAAAAGGGGAATTATCTCTGTGCATCTAATCTGCATTAAGTTTGTTGGTCAAATGGTGTGGTGTATAAAATTTTCTTGCGCGCACTCATCATCATTGGACTGTATTGAGAAGTATCAAGTGGTGGACACTAGTGATTTGGATGCATGAAAAAAACTTACAGAATATTTCAGAGTCAAAGCATAGAAAGATAGGTTGCATTTTTGTTTGCTACTTTTCTCTGTTATCCATCTTACAAAAACGAAATCAAGCTCTGCCATCTTATGGATGTGAGTCTTTTATCAGTCATCTTTATTGCTTTGTCATTCACATGGTTTGTTTGGCAATTCTCATATACTTCAATATAAATGGAGATGGCATTCCTTGATATTTGGAGATGAACTAAAAGCCAATGAGCCATTTCTATGAGCTTATCATGAACTGAACAAGTCATTCAGCAGCAAAGCATGTTAAACTTAATCAGAAAAATATTATTTTTCAAATTCGTAAGCAATGCTGCTTTTAAATGATGTTAGTTTCTTATGAATTTATGTTTGTCCATTTAGTCTTCTGTTTTGGCTAATTAGGGAACCAGTCTCATCTGTAAGGGAATTTTTGTAATCATTTTCACGGAATTTTATCTAAGGAAAGCATGTCTGTGTTGAGCCATTTGGCCTGTTCCTTTTCAACTTAATAACTTGTTTTCCTTGTGCTTTTTATTTTCATGCATTTCTGTTTGGTTTAGATTGCTAATAAAACATGCATTTATCCATCTTGTTATTAGATTTTTAATTGCGTTTACTTTTTTGGTATTGCTATCACTATTATGTATGCAGGGACACTACATCTCAGTCCTTCAGGCCTTTTTTTCTGATTATCTTTTTGTGTTGCTTCATGGTAGAGTCACATTTCTAATAAAGAAGCACAAAACTACCCACACGTGATCAGATGGATGGACTATATCCAGGTAATATTTGGAAATCCTCTTTTGTTTATCTCACTTTTACCTGTACTGTGCACTTCCTTGGAGGGCTACACAGTTGTTAGTAACATACAAGATTCTATCTCGGCACAGGGATAAACTAAAATTATCTAATTTCTTCATATTAGACAGTGCAAAAATTTAGTAATAGTAAACCGATGTCATCCACGCAAGAAAGTAACTTTTTTTTTTCAATGTCACTTGAAATACAAAGTCTTTATCCAATTTTTTTTGTTAAAATTCACTTCTATGCCTACCTTTTTTCTTTCCAATGTAGACTTTCTTTGGTCAACAAGGATTGAAGAATGCTTGATGCATTTCATAAGCTCACTTGTCTGAAATCTGTTATTGTTTTGTATCAATGCTCATTTCACAGTTTTGCATAATTATAGGACACGTTTGAAGTTCGTTCTCTGCATTTCTCAGTTGTTGCTTTCATTTATCTGTTTACCCTAGTCCATTGTAAACTTAAGGTTCTAAAGTCATTGTTAAAGCAATATTTTGCTATGACCTGTTCAACTGCTGCATTCAATGTGTTAGTGGATGAAATCATGTTATGGGATGAGCTTATAGCTTTCATTTCCTTCTCAGGAAGTGGAAATATTCTTTCTTCTGATTTAGGGTGCGTTTGGGACGGCTGTTGCTGTCGGTAAAGCATGTTGTGAAATTGTTGTACATAAAACTGCTTTTTTAAGTTGTTGTATAGAAATCAGTCAATGTTGTTTGGATAGTACTACTGTCGAACTGCTATACTGCTGCTGTTTGATAACAAATTACCTTGTTACCCTTACATATATTAAGATGAATAAAATTTGTTAAAATTTAATTTTTTTAACTCTTTATGTTAACAATTTTGATGTAAAATATAATTATTTTAACTTTTGGATACCTCGATCAACACCGTCTGCTTTGTTCTCTGCATACGAAATTTCTCCAGCAACCGCTGCCTAGCCCTATCCCTCACCGTCAGCTTCAATGGCGTCAGCACCGCCCTTTACACACTCGTCGCCAAAGCCATCAACGGTTCTCCTTCTTCCTACCTCCTCCTCAACGCCGTCCTCCCCGTCCTTACCTCCATCACCGCCCTCATTTCTATCCTTCGCCAGCCGCCACCACTCTCCACTTCTTCCCGCCGCCGTGACACTCACATCTTCTTCCTCCTAAATTCCATCGCATTTCTGACAGGCCTCTATCTCCTCCTCCTCAACCCGGCCGCCCCCAACCCTGCACCTCACGCCTCCTCCTGGCTGGAGCTGTAATCCTCCTCGCCCTCCCACTCACCATTCCCGGCATCGTCGTTGCCAGAGAATAGGCTCTCCGCACCATCTATTCCAGCCAGTTGGAAGACTCAGAAGAGTACCAAGACATACTAATTAAGGAACTGATCCCTGCAGGCGACGGGGAACTGGTTGAAAACCAGAACAAACCGGACATCAACGACGAGCGAGGATCTCTCTGTTGCTGCTTCTGCAATGCGTTGATGGCAAAGACATACTAATGGCCATGTGGCGGGCAGTGGCGTTTGGGCCTTCGAGAGTGCTTTATACGACAAAGGAGGAAGAAAGGGAGGGTTTGGAGTTCGAAGAGAAGGAAGAAGATGATTTGTTCGCGACACCGTGCGAGTCCCCGGTGTTTTACACTCCGGCTTCATCTCCCGCTCGAGCGCCGGAAAAGGAAGGGGCTGTCGCCGTCTGGGTTTCGCAGCGATGGCGACAACGTAGAGGAGAAGGTGAGTCGAGATGGATGAGCTTGAGAAGGTCGACGTTGATCTGCAGCAAACATTGTGATTGGATTTTTTCGTCATTTACGCCCTTCATAACGGCGGAAAGCAGCAACCGCAGCGGACCGCGGGACGCAATGAATGGTCGCGAGAAGCAGCAGCGGGCCGCATAAATTTTTCTAACGTTGTTCTACCGCAATGCCCCAAACGCACCCTTAATAAATTTTTCTGAAGCAAAGCAGCCGTGAAGCCGTCCCAAACGCACCCTTATACATTTTAGAGATTAAAGTGCCTTCTTGTTGAAAATTTTTCTTTTCACCATTAGCATGATTTCTTTATTCAGTACAACAACAACAATAACATCAAGCCTTTATCCCACTATATATGGTCGGCTACATGAATCCTTTTTCTCCATTGTGCCTTGTTAAAAGTTAAATTATCATTTAAATCTAATAAAGAAAGACCATGATGTGAAACAACATGCGATGGAAACAAGAACTGCTTGGGAATTTTAATATAAGATTGTTAAAGCTTTGCTAGTTATAAAATTAATGCTTACCCACAGTAAGTTCTCGGAATTATCAAATCGAAATTAAGTAAGGCATGAGGTTATATCTAGATTAATGGGACAATATCAAATTGATGACATAAAATTTGATAGTAACGTTATGGAGAGAAACAATAATCCACAATTAACAAATAGAACTTCTCACCTTGGGTCTCTCACTCACTCTCTTGTTGGTGGCACTTTTGATGGGGGAAGATTGAGAGCAACCAAGTGATGCCACTAGAAGACAATGGCGCACAAAGTGTAGTCCGTTGGAGTGGTAGTCGGTGGCGGGTAGTCCATGGGATGACTAGTTAGCACCCAACGTCTTGTCCGTTCTTCCTTGATCGTCAAAGGTGAGAGAGGCGCCTCGGGTGTTGGAGGAGAAACGGCCAAGAGGAGGCGGGTTGGGAAGGTTCGGCCAAGGTGGGGGAGAAAGAAAACTGCAGGAATTTTCTGCAGGAAGTTATTTTGAGGGCTAATTGAAGGGATTTAATTTGAAAATCAAATTAAATCCAAGAGGAGAAAGGGGCGGTTAATGGAGAGGGTAGGGTTTAGGGGCTGAATTTGAGGAGTTATTATGTCATTTGGAGGTGAGAGAAGGCCATTAGGAGTGGCCGGCCATATG